GTAGGGAGTGTTGTGGAGAGTAGAAACCAAGAACAAATCCTTAAATCTATTATTTAGAGAACAGATTTAATCCCTGATTATATTGTTATAAGAAGAAAAAGACGAAAGAGACGAACGATAAAGATGGCGGAAAAAAGAAAAATAACGGAGGAAAATACTTGAAAGAAAGAAAGAAAGTGAGTAAAAGTAAAATAAGACAATGTGAAGAAAAGAATGGCCGGTTGAATTGAAAGAGAAAACGAAGAAAACGGAAAGGAAAGACAAAATTGAATGATTTTATGGAAAAAAGGAAAGAAAAAAGAACAAGTGTGTGAGACAAAAAAAAGAAACAGAAAAGAAGTAAAATAACAAAGTGGAAAGAAAAAAAGGAGGACTGGTAAAAGAAAAAAATGAAAGAAGAGTTAATGTAAATAGAAAGAAAAAAATTGTCAAATAAAAAAGAAAGAAAGAAAGAAAAGAAAGAAAGAAAAAAAAGGAATAGGAAGGAAGAAAGAAAGAAAGAAAGAAAGAAAGAAAGAAAGAAAGAAAGAAAGAAAAAGGAAGAAAGGAAGGAAGGAAAGGAAGGAAGGAAGGAAGGAAGGAAGGAAGGAAAGAAAGAAAGAAAAATCAAGGAAGAAAAATTAAAAAAAATAAAAAAGAAATAAGGAAGAAAAAAAGAAAGAAAAGGAAGGAAGGAACAAAAAAGAAAGAAAGAAAGAAAGGAAAGAAGGAATAAAGGAAGGAAGGAAGGAAGGAAGGACGAATAATGAAAATAAAAAAAAGAAAGAAAAAATAATCTTGAATGTGAAAGGATCGAAAATAAAAAAAATTATAGAAAGAAAAAAGAAGGGAAAAAGTACAACAAAAAAAAAAGAAGAATAATATAATTAAAAGAAACAAAAAAGCAACAATGTAGACGAAAAAGGAAAAATAACGAAAGAACGAAATATAATAAAAATAAAAGAAAGAAAGAAAGAAAAATGAGTAAAAGTAAAATAAAAGAATGTGAAGAAAAGAATGAACGGTCGAAAGGTTTTTAAAATTTGGGTATGAAAAAAAGAAAAGACAAAATTGAATGATTTTATGGAAAAACAAGAAAAATTCTAAAAAACAAAATGAGAATTTAAAATAGGAACAGAAAAAAACAAAAAAATAGCAAAAGGAAGAAAAAAAAGAAAAAAACAAAAACAAAAAGAAAGGTTAATGTAAAAAAAAAGAAAAAAAAAAAAAAGAAAGAAAATTTTAAAAAAAAAGAAAGAAAGAAAAAAGAAAGAAAGAAAGAAAAAAGAAAGAAAGAAAGAAAGAAAGAAAGAAAGAAAGAGAATAAGTAAAAGTAAAATAAAAAAATGTAAAAAGAAGAATTAACGATCGCGAGAGAAAAAGAATGAAAACGGAAATGAAAGACACAATTTAATGATTTTACGGAAAAACGGAAAGAAGAAAAAAAAAAAAAAAATTGGGAAAAAAAAAAAAAAACATTTTTAAAAGGAAGCAAAATAGAAAAAAAAGAATTTAAAAATTTAAAAAAATATTTAAGAACGAAAAAATTTATTGAAAACTAAAAAAAAAAATCAGAAAGAAAAAAAGATCAAGAAAGATAGACAGAAAGAATAAAAGAAAGAAAAGAGAAAAATAAATAAACAGAAAGACAGAAAAGAAAAAATAGCGAGTGACGAAGATTACATATATGAATATAGTTTCATTTAGTTTGCTACAAGGCCACTTGAGAACCCAAAGATGCTGCTATGAGAATCGATGCTTTGATATTCTCCCTTATGATATTTCCCAAGTGTAACTTCGTCCGAGACAAATCGAATTTACACAAGTCGGGTGTTAAGGTGAAGCGGGGGTGTCAAATCTTCCAAGAAGCAGGAAAATGTCTCACTTTGAAAATCAGGCTCCAAAAACTAGAACTGGGAAATCAACATGATTTGTGCGCTTACAAACGTTGAAGATTATATTTCCGAATAAAAATTGATTATTTTCTTGTTCCGACATTTTTTGGCTTGTTTGTTTTTTTAAATTTATTTCCATATTTTAATCTTTTTTTTATATTGACGCCGACCGAGTTGAAGTGTTATTTATTTCAATCGTGCGACATTTTGTTTCACTTTCTTTCTTTCTTTTTTTACTTTACTAATTAATTTATTTATTTATGTCATTTTTTTTCGGTCACGTGACGTTTATGTTGTATGCCGGTTTCAATTTATTTGCTTTCATTGGTCATCAAGTTGACAGGTGACCGACCTTTAAAAAACGGAACTGAAATTTGGATAAACGAAGCCGAACTTTGAAACAATCAGATCGTCCGGTAATTGGAATGTCATATATGCATAGAGTGAGCCGGCCGTTTGAGGATATTTGCAAGGAGTGTGGTTAATGCATTTCATCAAAACAGCGTCTCAAGTTTTAGATCGAGGGGGCGTAAAACATCTTAAAGTAATGGTAGATGGGAGTCAATAATAGAGTTAGAAAAATATTAGGGGTCATTTCATTATTTTCTCTTTTTTCCCGGTACGAACATTTCTCTCCAGGGAATATGTGCGTATGTCATTGGCAATTGGAACTACAAATTCTGTCACAGGACCATTTGATTCAGAGCTTACGTTAACTTTGTGCCATCTTCTTTCTTGGAGAGGCGAGTTTATGGACGTGTTTAATAAAAGAATAAAAACACGAGGTAACTAAAATGGGTAACAGAATTTAAGAAAATAAAAAAGACTCAAAAACAAGTAAAATAATGTAAAAGGAGGAGAAAGAAAGAAAGAAAGAAAGAAAGAAGATGTAGAAATGAAAATGTAGAGGAATGAAAGAAAAGAAAGAAAAATAAAATAGAAGAAAAAGGTAAAGAATCAGAAGAAATAGATAAATAAATGAAGATTTAGCAAAAGAAAGAAAGAAGAAAAGTAAGAGAAAAAAAGAAGATGTAAGAATGAAAAATAGAAAGACAAAAGAAAAAAAGGTAGAAAAAAAGAAGGAAAAAGAGTCAAATAAAATCAAAAGAAAGAAAGCAAAATAAAAAGAATTGCGAAGTGAAAAAAATTTAAAAATACAAAAAAGAAGGAAAAAAAAAATGCACTCAAAATTAAAGAAAAGAAAGAAAAGAAAGAAAGAAAGAAAAAGAAAGAAAAATAAAGAAGATGTAAAAAATAAAAAGTTGAAGGACGAATGAAAAAGCAAATAGAAAGAGGGGAACATGACCAAAGAAAGAAAGAAAGAAAGAAAGAAAGAAAGAAGATGTAAAAATAAAAAGTTGAAGGACGAATGAAAAAGCAAATAGAAAGAGGGGAACATGACCAAAGAAAGAAAGAAAGAAAGAAAGAAAGAAAGAAAGAAAGAAAGAAAGAAAAGAAAGAAAGAAAATTAAAAAATAAAAAAAAAGAAAGGACGAATGAAAAAAAGAAATGAAAAGAAAATATGAACATGACCAAAGAAAAAAGAAAGAAAGAAAGAAAGAAAAGAAAGAAAGAAGATGTAAAAATAAAAAGTTGAAGGACGAATGAAAAAGCAAATAGAAAGAGGGGAACATGAACAAAGAAAGAAAGAAAGAAAGAAAGAAAGAAAGAAAGAAAGAAAGAAAGAAGATGTAAAAATAAAAAGTTGAAGGACGAATGAAAAAGCAAATAGAAAGAGGGGAACATGACCAAAGAAAGAAAGAAAGAAAGAAAGAAAGAAAGAAAGAAAGAAAGAAAAAGGAGAACACAATCAAAGAAAGAAAGAAGTTGCAAAAATAAAAAATTGAAACGAATGAAAAAGCAAATGGAGGAAAGAGAAGAAGTAAAATATAATCAAAAGAAAGAAAGCAAAATAAAAAGAATTGCAAAGTGAGAAAAAAGCGAATACAAAAAAGAAGGAAAGCACACTCAAAAGAAAGAAAAAAAGAAAAAAAGAAAGAAAGAAAGAAAGAAAGAAAGAAGGTCCAAACATAAAAAATTGAAAACGAATGAAAAAGCAAATGGAGGAAAGAGAAGAAGTAAAATACAATTAAAAGAAAGAAAGAAAGAAAAAGAAAAAAGATGCTCGAATGAAAAATAGAAGGACAAAAGAAAAACAAGTTGAAGAAAAAAAATGCAAAGACAATCAAAAAAAGACAGAAAGGATTTCAATGTGAGTGAGGAACAAAAGAAGAATTAGCAGTAGAAATAAAGATTGATTTGTTTTACGGCTTATCAACTTTTTGCGGTTTATTTAAAGCCAAAAAATATTTTTTGATTGGAAGGTATTACTGGAGATAATAATTATTTACTGATACACAAGTCTTACTAATTAACCCATAGCTGGGAAAGAAGAAGTGGATTCATAAAGTATTTTTACGCGTAAGTGAATATAATGAACTCAACTGGTTTTCGAACTGGGCTCTCAGATTTGCAATTCCATATCTTTGTGTATAACACCACCCACCCATCCAAGCTTATAGGACCTGATATTCCCCAGAGGTCACCCATCTAGGTACTGACCAGGCTGGACGTTACTTAACTTCAGTGATCGTACAAGAACACATGTTTCAACGTGATGTGGCCATAAGCCAATTATGATACACGCACATCCAAGCTTACAGCATGTGATATTCCTAAGTGGTCACCCATCTAGGTACTAAGTAGGCTGGACGGCTTAACTTCAGCGATCGTACGAGAACGCGTGTTTCAATGTGACACGGTCGTAAGCCCGAAATAAAAGGAAGAAATAAAATAAAATAAAAAGAGCAAGAAAGAAGGAAAAGAAAGTAGACAAAAGAAGGAAGACACAATGAAAAGAATCAAGGGGAGGGAGAAGAAAGAAAGAAAGAAAGAAAGAAAGAAAGAAAGAAAGAAAGAAAAGAAAGAAAGAAAGACGAAAAGAATTGAACAGTAAGAGACGAATAAAGAAAGAGTTGACAAAAGAAAGAAAGAAAATAAGAAGAAAAAGAAAGAGAAACAGAGTAAAGACGAGAAAGAAGAAATCGCAAATTGACAGACGAAAAATAAAGGAATAATCAGAAAAATGGATGAAAGAATAAAGAAAAGGAAGGTATAATCAACCATTCGCCCTTGCATGAAATATTACTACCATATATGGCCTGGAGCCCCTTCTGTTTGTCTCAAGATCCTTGATAAAATCCAAAGACGGATATGCAATGTAATTGGCCCTGATCTGGCATCTCGTCTACAGTCGCTCTCTCACAGACGTTCCGTTGTCTCCCTGTGTCTTTTTTTACAAATACAGCGTGACCCAAAAATCGGGAATTTTTGAAGTGCGTATTGCCAGGTATGAGCAAGTGGCAACACTGCGAGACAATGACCTTGAGCAAGTAAACATTTTGCCATTTAGAATTCAAGATGAAATTCACAGTATCCCAGCTGAGATGTTGCAGCAGTCAATGAGGAATCTCAACAGCAGATTTCAAGAGTTCATTCGTAAAGGAGGACGCCATCTACAGGACGTGATTTTTTAAAAAAATGAAAATTCCATCATTGTTTCTTAAATGGCATGTTTTAAGGTTTCAATTACTATGAATAAAATATTTTTTTTCCATCACTCTTGGTTTTATTGGATTGTTAAAAATAACTGCTGATGATTTAAGCGTTCAAATTTAATGTCAACTAGGCTGGCATCTCGATCTCACTCTTTCACTGTCGAAACTGTTAAATCTAGCCGTCTCCTCTACTCCAATAGCTTCATGTTTCGCACTTCTCGCCTGTGGAACTCCCTCCCCTCTTCCTGTTTTCCTGATAGCTATAATCTCCAACTATTCAAATGTAATGTCAATCGACGTCTCCAGATGCCTTGATCTATCCCCTATCCTTCTCTTCATCCTTTCTTCTATCACTCCTATTTGCTCTCACTCCAACTCTCTGTAACCCCTTGCGTGCTAGTGGCTTCCTGCTTTGGATGGGGTGAAACACAATATATATATATATATATATATATATATATATATATATATGGTGAGAGATGCGATATAGCTTTCTAATAATTACTGCGCATATAATATATAAATAATTATACATATATATATTTATTTATATTTATATACACTTTTCACATATATATATATATATATATATATATATATATATATATAAGGTTAACGGTTAGAGTTGAATCAGGCCAGGAAACAGTAGTATTAAAAAGTTTTCAATACACGTGTAAAAAGAACAAAAATAAAAATAACTTGTAGAGTTTTTAACTCAATTGAATCTGCTTACCTTAGATTCAACCTTACCTTAGGCGATTTTTATCAAATGACCACGTAACTCTTTTTTTTCTTTTTTTTTTTTTTTTTTAAACTGAAGAACGCTACATTATTGTTTTCAAAAATAAACAAACGCACGACGTTGGGTGTAAAAGGGAGGAGGAAGATGTGAAGAAGGAAGAACAAGAAGAGGAAAGAAAAGAAAAGCAAGTGTATTGTAAATGCATTAGTGAGGGTTTAAATTACTTATTATTTATTCAGCCTAATATGCAATTAAGAAAACAATCCTGATATGTAAGCAAGGATTTAGGACTTCGGATTTCTGGTTTAAAAGCTTTTTGGGGATGCGGATAAGTTATAATCACTAATTTATCCTGTTGGCAGAGGTTGTGATTGCTGTATCATTTAAACCAGAAATCCAAAGTAAGTCCTTGCTTACATATCAGAATTTTTTCTTAAGTGCATATGAAGCTGAATGAAAAAAATAATTTAACCCTACCCCAATACATTTACAATACACTTGCTTTTCTTCTTCTCCTTTTCTTCTTCTTTTCTTCTTCTTTTTCTTCTTCTTCTTTCACAGCCTCCTCCTCCCTTTCTATTACACCCAACGCCGTCCGTTTTTTTTAATTTATTTTTGAAAAATAATAGCATAACGTTCCTTAGTTTAAAAAAAAAAAAAAAGGCGTTAGGTGGTCATTTCATAAAAAATCACCTGAGCATACCGTAAAGGTTGAAACTAAGGTTAATGGATTCAACTGATTTTTAATATATATATATATATATATATATATATATATATATATATATATATATATATATAGAAAGAAAGAAAGAAAGAAAGAAAGAAAGAAAGAAAAAGAAATTCAAAAGCAAGTACGAAAAATAAAAAAGGAAGAGGTTTGAAAAAAGAAAGAAAGAAAGAAAGAAATTAAAAAGGTACGTAGTTAAAGAAAGAAAGAAAGAAAGAAAGAAAGAAAGAAAGAAAGAAAGAAAGAAAGAAAGAAAGAAAAAAAGAAAGAAAGAACGTACGTACGTACGTAAAGGAGGAAGAAAGAAAGAAATTAAGAAGGTACGTAGGTAAAGAAAGAAAGGAAGAAAGAAAAAAAGAAAGAAAGAAGAAAAGAAAGAAAGAAAGTCAAAAGCAAGTAGGAAAGGGAAAGGGAAGCGGTTTGAAGAAAGAAAGAAAGAAAGAAAGAAAGAAAGAAAGAAAGAAAGAAAGAAGGTACGTAGGTAAAGAAAGAAAGAAAAAAGAAAGAAAGAAAATAAAAGGGTACGTAGAGAAAGAAAGAAAAAGAAAGAAAGAAAGAAATTAAAAAGTTACGTAGATAAAGAAAGAAAGAAAGAAGGTACGTAGGTAAAGAAAGAAAGAAAGAAAGAAAGAAAGATATGTAGTGTGATCAGAAAGAAATAAAAATATCCATGAACAGAAAGGAAGAAAAAAAAAACAAAAGGACTAAATTCGTGCCTAAAAGAATTTAAAACGGGGGAAAAACACAGACTTGTTAGAAAATAAACAACAAGCAAATCAATATGAAATACATGAAAATTTAGAAAAATGAGTTAAGAAAGAAAGAAAGAAAGAAAGAAAGAAAGAAATTGAGTGATGAGAAAAAAGTAAAATATTTGTCGTAAAAAAAAGAAAGAAAGAAAGAATGGATGCTAAGCGAACGAGTTCAACGATAAACGAAAAGGAAAACAGGAAGCTATTAAATATGCCATACATGAAGTCAGATATGGCCCATTTGAAAAAGGCGCTCTATGTCCCTATATAATCAGATGTACATGAAAGAAAGTGCTTTCCTCGCAAACCGAAAATAATATTTCGCTCATCTGAAATTATTGTGTATTTTTTATCATTATTCTATTTTTCTTTTTGGCTCATTTTTCAAAGCGAGTTGAAGCGAAATTATAAGAAAATCTAAATTATTCTTTTCCTCGGCTTCGATTCCTTTTCTATTCATATCTTTCTTTCTTTATTTATTTCGTTATCTTGTTTCGGGGATTGCAACTTTCCTGGCATGGTGAGGACAATTCGCCGGCAAGAAATTTGCTTACAACAATGGCGATCATGCATAATTGACAGGTTCATCGGGGTTTAAAGAAAACAACAACAACAAAAAAAGAGGGGGGGCTTGAATATGCTTATAATTAGAGGGCAATCATGACGGAAAGAAATGAAAAGAAACTTCTCGAACGTTCAAAATAATAATTTTAGAAGGAAGCAAGGAAGGAAAGAAGGAAGAAAAACGGGGGGGAAAGAATGAAAAATTTTGCAAAGAAAGAAAGAACAAAGAAAAAACAGGTCGGAAAGAATTTAAAATATTCCAATAAAGAAAGAAAAAAAAACGGACCAAAAAGAATAAAAAATCTTCGAAGAAAGAAAGACAAAGAAAGAAAAAAAAAAGAAAATACGGAAAAGAAAGAAAGAAAAAAGGTTAAAAATAATTAAAAGTATTCCAAGAACGAATGAAAACAGAACGAAAGGAAATCAAGAGTCGGCAAAAAAATAGAACAACTATCCAAAGAAAGAAAGAAAGAAAGAATGAAAGAAAGAAAGAAAGAATGAAAGAAAGAAAGAAAGAAAGAAAGAAAGAAAGAAAGAAAGAAAGAATGAATGAAAAAGATTTCTATTTTCATATTGATTAAAAATCACTTTGTCTTGGCCTTTATTGTGTTTTGTGCATTTCTTCATTATTCTTAAAGACATCAAATACAATGAAAAGAATTTCTATAATAAACATTATTAACTATATATGTGTGTGTGCGTGTGTGTGTGTAGATAGATAGATAGATAGATAGATAGATAGATAGATAGATAGATATGAACAGACTTATATAGATAGATAGATAGATAGATAGATAGATAGATAGATAGATATGAACAGACTTAGATAGATAGATAGATAGATAGATAGATAGATAGATAGATAGATAGATAGATATGAACAGACTTAGATAGATAGATAGATAGATAGATAGATAGATAGATAGATATGAACAGACTTAGATAGATAGATAGATAGATAGATAGATAGATAGATATGAACAGACTTAGATAGATAGATAGATAGATAGATAGATAGATAGATAGATAGATATGAACAGACTTAGATAGATAGATAGATAGATAGATAGGATAGATAGATAGATAGATAGATAGATGATGTGAACAGACTTAGATAGATAGATAGATAGATAGATGGATAGATAGATGGATGGATGGATAGATATGAACAGACTTAGATAGATAGATAGATAGATAGATAGATAGGAACAGACTTAGATAGATAGATAGATAGATAGATAGATAGATAGATAGATAGATCTCTTTTCTTTCCTATATTCGTGTTCGCCATTCTTTTTTCGTTCTTTCTGTGCCTCTTTGAATCCCTCATTTAATCTTAGAGTCTTTTTCTTTCTCTTTCTCTAATTATTCTTCTCTCTCCTACCTTATGTATATATAATCGTTCAATGGATCTTTTATTCATTTTTCTTTCTCTTCTTTCCTCCTCCTTTCTTTTGTCTTCTTTCTGTTTCACACTCGTCCCTCTCTCTCTCTCTCTCTTTCTCTCTCTCATTCTCGCTCGCACACATATTCTTTTCTTTCTCTTCCCTCCTTTCTCTCCTCCTGTTCTTTTAACACTCCCTCTCAACCAATACTCCTTCCCTTAATTTCTACCTCTCCTGCCACCTCCACTTATCCTCCCTTTTCCCTTAGAAGGCAAAATCTTCTGTCCGCCCACCCAGCGGCTAGTCGATCAACCTTCTCCTGACAACATTGAGAGATCATGAATAGAATTAGCCTAAGGTCCGAAATAACTGGAGTGTGTAACCGCTGGTCATCGG